TATCTATTAAATAATTGTCGGAATGATACTTGCTACCTCCTGTATAGTAAGTGGTGCATTAAGACGTTATCTCGTTTTAATAAATGCTATGTTTACATAAATAAACAATACGGTACTGTGCCCTCAATCAAAAATAAACTGACGACATGCCTACATATTGGCCTCTTACATATTTTGTGTATCGAAAGTGATCTAAAAATAGTAAAAGATGTACGTCTAGGATTAGTCGGAGTGAGACGAGACATTGGTATACGAAGTAATGTTTGTTGAAGAAACAAAATTTTAAAATGATTAGCTCGATGATAGCTAACGTTGTAGAATGTAGAGGTATCTTAACTAGTAACTAATATTATAAATGTGAGTGTATGTTTGTTTGTCCGTTCACGTATTATCAATGCAACGGTGTCTATGTGATGTATATAAATTTCTATATATAATGTTTATCGGACGGCGGAAGATAGTGATTTTTATTTTAGCATTTCAAGTATATATGGGAGAGATTATTATCTGAATGTAACAAATACTTGTCACTACTAATATAATCGATCAAAAACAACTTTTAGTGATCGATGCTACTGCTCACTAAAAAGAATAAAAAAAGTATTTATCGTGTATATGTCGCAGGCCGCAGGAATATCGTAAGATTCGGAATTTTACAAGCCTGCGAGTATTTTCTAACACATGTTTATTTGTATAATGACGGATTACACAATATGCCTGCGACATAGGTAAGTAGTACGTAGATTTTGTGTTGTTTCTTTCGCCTTTATAGTAAATTAGGTCCAATAATGACACGCCTTAGTTACTGAGAAAGACCCGGTTATGTTAAGGCCATCCCCCGAGCAAATGACCTTTAACATTCGGCCCATCAATTGCTGTCCGGCCCCCGCGCAGTAGCCTCACTGAAAATTTTTAAAGATTTCTGAATATTGGTCCAAAACAACATTGATCTTTAAAAAAAATTAAACGTGTTAAATATCAGTTTTTGAAATGATCTATCAAAACGTGTTAACTATACTTTTAAGTGAGTTGTAATTCATGTGTACATGCAAAGAATAAGAAAAAAATTCATGATTACAGCAATACTTTAGAATTTTATTTCTTTACACAATACTGACACAATAGCTTCTAAATATCGCAGCAGAAAAGTTGGGATTGCCCTTAAATTATAACATTAACAGCAATTAGTCCGATTAGCTTGGGGTCGATAGGCGCGGCTCAAATGGTTTTTATACTAATTCTAATGAAAGTTTTAATAAAGTTGTAGATATGTTTTTTATACCCATATACTTTAAATAAGAGCTGTGTTACATATGTATTACTTACGTACTTGTTTTTTTTTTGTAAAAATAATATTTAATTAGATATATGTATATACATAAGTAGATATAAGTATAGTCCGCCAACCCGCACTTGGCTAGCGTGGTGGATTACGGCCTGATCCCCCTCGTAGTGGGACGTCAAAAAAGGTTGAATGTAAATTTAAAAAAAAGCCACTTGAGGTACTTTATCGGCTTTGGTTAGGTAACGGACGCACGAACGTAACCAGGGTATGAATTCGATTCTTTCTTGGTGCAACTGCAATATATATTAAATTAAATTATTATATATATATAATTATTTTTAATGGAATAATAGGAACTGTTTTTAGCTTGAAAAAACAATGGAACTTGAGGTAAGATCAAATCTCTAAAACAAAAAACGGGACCATAAGATTAACGGGAGTAAAAAGGTTTAGTTACTTTATCGGCTATAGGTATTATTATGTAGGTAGGTTATCAGGAACTCACGAACGAAGCCAGGGGATGCCGCTTGTTATTTATAAAATTAAGTAGGTACAGAATGTTTTTGCATGCTACCAGTAGTAACCTCCTTTAATCATTAATTTCTTTTTGTTTGAAGTGTCCGATGGTTATGATTCTTTCAGATTTCCAGGCTCATTGCCAAGTAGTGCTATTTCAAGTAGTAAAAACTAATGCACCGTACGTATACGATTCCATTCTTTTTATTATAATAACTTATAACTAAGAAAACACGCAAACTTCAAAACAATCTTAAGTATGTAATTATATCAACAGTGGTGTGGTGGCAATAACCAGATAATTTTATTTAATTATTTTGTTGCTTAAAACTTACTTTGACTTATTTTTATTTTTTGAAGTCGGTTAAAAATTACCAATCTATACATACAATAAAATTCTAACTAAGCCGAATCTGTACATTATTTATATATTTTTTGGAAAATCTTATTGAAATAGAAATTATTGTCGATACAGAGGCCGATTCCATAGTTTTTAGAATTTTTGTCTGTCTGTCTGTCTGTCTGTCTGTCTGTTACCGCATCATAGAAAAACCACTGGAGGGATTTCGATAAAATTTGGTATGGTGATAGCTGGTTATCCGGGTCAACATATAGGATACTTTTTACCGCGGGAAAATATTTCATTTCTGAGAAAAAATACATAAACTGCAATGTAAGAGTATACTAATATGTAAAATCTAAGAATTTGGTTTTTGGTCATCTGAATGCGGGCAGAGCCGCGGGCTATGCTAGTATTAATATATGTTGGGACATTAATACACAGCACCATCTAGTTCCATGGTAAGCTATGTAAGGCTTGTGTTATGCATACCAGATAGTTGATAGACTACACGTATATAACTTTAAAATATATGTACATTATACATATTATAAATATAAACACCCATAACTGGAGTGCAACCGTTCGTGCCCACCACACAAATGAATGCCCAACAACAACGGGACTCGTGCCCGCAACCGTTGGCACAGCAAGTAGGATTACTACAAACTGAGCATCCTTATTTGTAGTATGTACTTATTCTAAAATAGTAAATATAATTATTCTACGCGCTTAGTTACAACTTACGAGCACCATCCGCGTAGTAATAACTAATATTACTAATTGCATGAACATGACATTGAGTTTCGCCGAGGTTAAGTGAAGGACTATTTTTTTTTGGATACGTGTAGAGTTGATTTGCTGCTGTTAAAATTATTTTAAACTATTTATTAGTATTAAATGATTTTAATATTGTGTTTTACATAAATAATAGTATTTGAATGATTTATCTGCCTAAATATTACTCTTTAATTGACCGACTTCTATAATAACTTCCTAACTTCGGGCTGCTACTGAGCATTCCTGAGTAGATATACTCAATGACTAAATTTGGCCCGATCGGGACTCGAACCCAGGACCTCCAGATCTGCAGCCGTATTACATCCTAGCCACTATACCCTCTAGGCAGTCGTTATGGGTGGTCCAAAATACATGTATTTCGCAATACTTACATTGATTTTAAAACCGGATTTCCTTTTTAGTTAAAAGTAGTTATTTTGATACAATTAAAAATATTTGAAAAGGAGGAGCTTGATGAATCTTAGCTTAGGTTTAGCCAGGTATTCTCTTAATAATCTTTACATATAAAAGTATATGTTTGTTTCTCTGTTTGTGTGATGAACCTATGCATCCCATTTTGTTCCATTCCTTCGATTGCTCGAAAAGTAGTTTATCGTAACATAATACATTTGGCAAACATGACTAGGTACTACTATACACTCGTATTTACTATTCAGTATGTATTAATTAAATTTTCCGGGAGATTATATCATTTCCACGGGAAACCATTATATTACAAGTCAAAAAATATTAATAATCAGAATTACTTGAAACTTGGTATAAATGCTCTTCAATACAATTAAATAAATACGTGTTTTAGCATTTTTCTGAAATTCATCCTATAAGGGAGTAAAATAGGTGAGACAGTTTGTATGGAACCTACTTTTTTAGAGTTTTTATGTACTTTTAGCGCGAGCGAAGCCGCGTGTTCTGCTAGTAATTATTATTAATTCATTAGTCCGAGATTAAATTATGGGTGATAACACAATAAGTTGACACTACCAGATGATCTGAACTCACAAAATTTCATAAAAAACGTTTCAGATGTTTTGGAGTCCATAGGAAACATACATACACACACATCGATTTTTATTTTATTTAATAAACAATTTAAATTTATTTATTGCTCGGAAAATGGAGTCTTTTATGAAAATTTAGTGACACACCTACTGCAGCGCCACCTACCGGGTCCATTTGTAAATTCAAACCTTGCAGGGACCCACTCGAACATACAATAAAAATATCAAAAATCGTCCCTGCCGTTTAGGAGATGATCAGTGGCACACCGACTGCAGTACCACCTACTGCAGTACCACCTACTGGGTCCAATTGTATCCATTGTAGTGGACCCCTCATTTTATTTCCAGGCGTAAAATATTTATTAAACCATAAAACATAAAAACACGATCCCAGGGGGAATATCGCCAAGCTCCAGGCTATTTTTTACTAAAAAACCTTTTAAAACAAATCGTTTGGAAAATGAGTGAAGGGTCCACAACGTAGATCGGGGTCTCCTAATATAAGTGATGTGATGTCTATCTAATACAAAAACGTCAATGAATAAAATTGTCATTAAAGGGGAATTCCTGCTCTAACTTTATAGACTGTAACAGCTTTTAAACTGTATACATAAAATATAATAATTAAATATTGTGTTAAGTATTATTAGCAAAGATAAAATAATTTAGTATCTTTTTTCCTCTGTTTCTCCACTATTTTCTTTTTTTTCTGTTTAATAGCTATTGACGAGCTTTAGTGTTATCAATAAAAAAAATTTGGAGACGTGTTTTTGTATAGATAGGTAAATTCTATTCATTTATGTTTCCTCAAATTTTGAATAATGTTTTAAATAAAACTATCTTTTCGGATTATTTCGCGGATATATTTTGATTTTTGGTTCCCGACGTTTCGAATGCTTTACGGCAGTCATGGTCACGGGAGAGACTAAGGTTTTAGACGTCTTAAAGGTCATTATATACTTTAACAGACAGTGTCTATCCACCTAAAAAGTATTATGTAAATAGATTTTTTAATTCTAATGTATTCATTATTTTAATATTGTGTTTGTTTTGTCTCCAGCTCATGAAGAGGCTGCGCCAAGTGGTGGGCAACCGTCTCTTCGAGGTGATTATGAAAGCCACCTTCTATGGGCAGTTCGTCGCCGGCGAAGACCAAAACAAAATCAAGCCAACTCTTGAGAGGTGAGCTATTAATACTTTCTTAGATTTACGAGAATAATTGACATTTTAAATAAAGCTATCTATTGGGATTTTTGGGGATTTATTATGATTTTTGGTTCCCGACGTTTCAAATGCTTTACAGCAAGCGTAGTCACGGGAGAGACTAAGTTTTAGATGTTTCAAAGGTCATTTGTATATATGGTTATTACAGACAATGTTTATCCGCAACATGATTTCTAAAAATACAAAATGACACCAAAGTACTTTATAATATTAGTTAATTATAATTTTAAATAATTTATAATTGACCGTGACTTTGCGCGGCTTTAGCAACCATTTAGCCTTACTTTTACGGTATCACTGTAATCTTATATAGCGTTGCATTGTTGCTATTCAAATTAATTTTCATTGAAAGGGCAGGATTTATAGGTAGTTAGATAGGTTTTGCATATGACTTTCCTCGCGTGGTACCTACATACAAAAAGATTGATTAAAAATAAAACTACCTTCATCTCGAACTTTCCCCTATATCCGTTGATTTTGTTGAGTTTGTTTGTTTGCTTTTTTGTTTGTTTGTTTGAACGCGCTAATCTTAGGAACTACATACTGATCCGATTTGAAAAAATATTTTTGCATTAGATAGCCCGTTTATTGTTATACTATCCAAAGGAGCGGAATAGTAATCATAAATGTTAAGAAATCGGGTAGACTTCCATACATTACTACTAATAACATAAAGCCAAAGAGTTTTTTTTTCTAGTTTATATATACATAGGCAAAGACAAAACAGTTCAGTACCTTTTTCTCCTTGGTTTGTCAACCGATGTTCTTTTTTTTTGTTTTGCTTAGTCCCTATAGACGAGTTTTAGTGATATAAGTTTTTTTTAGGAATAGTTGACCATAATAAAATGTACTATTAGAATTGATTGAATTTTTCGCACAGTACTACATAGATGGTGTTGACTTTCTCACTTTATTAATGCTGTAACAAATTTTATGAATAGTTTTTTAAACAAGTTTTTATCAAATATATTTATTTTAAACGATTGTGTTGTTTGTCGTCTTTAACGATAAATATTAAAAATTATGTCTTAATCATTAATTAAGTATAAAAGTATAGTAGTGAGTATGAAATGTGTATGGTATGGCAAGAAAAAAAATGTTCAGAAATAGTATACCTACGTATATGATGGTGGCATTGTTTTCAAATTTGGATTTACATGGAGTAGGTACGTTTTTTATTCAGGACTCAGGCATATTTCTCTTATGCATACTTATCTACACATTACTTCCTTTGCTGTTGAATACCTAAACACTAAGAAAAACATTATTTTGTTCGTTAGTCAACAGAAATTATAGTCTAGGAGTAATGTATTGACTTTTTCACCGTCTTTTTTTACAACAGAACTGTGTGTGAATATTTACCTTCCTAATATATTATAAATGTGAAAGTTTAGAGTTTGGATGTTTGTTACTATGTTACTTAATCCAGAACAGCTAAACTGATTAGGATGAAATTTGGCACAGAGATAGATAATAGTTTCGAATAGCACATAGGTTACTTTTTATCCCGCAAAAATGTACGGTTCCCGTGGGACAGATTTGAAAGTTTGGGAAAAGTAATATAAATTTCTTAAATATTCAGATTTTGATTGTTAATATCGAATATGTTTGAAGTTTAATAATGGTTCCACAAATCTGAATCAAATCTGTAAAATTGTAACTAAATTTAAAATGGGTTATCAATTGAAAGATTTATGTATTAAATTTTTTTATTTATTAAACATACAAGCTCTAGCTTTTAGGCATGCCAGATTAGCATTGTTCAGTACAGCAATGTCACGTGGAACAATAAACAAAACGTACGTTATGTAATATTCGTTGGACAATATCCAAGAGCCATGTCGCACTTTTGTTCTGATTTTAATTCTCTAATCAGTAGGGTTCTAAGTTATTGCACCAAAAACATAACCAATAACACTTTTTAGAAGATGTATTTTTTTGATTTTAGTGCATGTAAATGAATGTATTTTTTATATTTTTCAGATTACGCTCTTTTGGAGTTAAATCAATCCTCGATTATTCCGTTGAGGAAGATCTTTCTCAAGAGGAGGCAGAAAAACGTGAAGTTAGGTATGTATCTATTTTTGAACACAGTGATTTACGAAGTAAAAACAGACTATCGGTTTTATTTATTTATATTTTATTAGTAAAATATTCATGGAATGCCTATTTACATGTGTTACAGTTCGTTTTGGTTACTGTTGAGGAAGAATCATTACTAAATAATAAATGATATGAAAGTTCTATTTGCTGTTATACTTCATGAAAATGTCTAATCGTTTCCCATTTGTCGGAATGGTTTCTAAGCAAGAAAACTTGCGTCGTTATACAAAATTTATATATAGCTGCGTTATAAATATAGCGGCGAAAAAATAGCGGCCAATCTCCCAGAAAATCTCAAACACAAGGTTGACACTTCATCAAATTCCCAACACTATACTCAACTGGTTTTGACGGGGCTTTCACTAGCAGATAGCTGATGTCATAGGGAGTAGCTTATACTACTTTTATTTCAGAAAAAGAGTCAGGGTTCCACGCGAAAAATCCGCGTACGTTGGGACGCTCCCGAATGAAGCAAATACAAATCACTAGTGTATATTAAATTTGTATAAATATTATAAATGTAAAAGTTTCTGAGTATGTATGGATGTTTGTTACTTTTTCACGCCAGAACGGCTGAACGGATCTGGATGAAATTTGGCACAGAGATAGATTATAGTCTGGAATAACACATAGGCTTACTTTTTATCCCGGAAAAATCTACGATTTCCGAGGGATATATATGTTTTTGTTTTTCTAGAGGCGAACCAGAGCGAAGCAAGGGTAAGCGCTTGTATAAGATATTGGCTTAGTTACAAGAAAAATTCTAAAGCCGAGCGTTCCGTTTATGCTTTGTTTTATGAATAGAATGTATTCATCTATATATAGAGTGAGATCGCAACTCTATGGCCTCTTTTCCAATTTTCTCATTGTTTCAAGAGCCATGACGACATTAACATTTTTATTTATACGATTATGTATCTTATTACATTAGAATAACGTTTAGTTTAGGTATTGAGTGCTAGTTTTGTTGTAGGTAGTGTTTGTTTGTAGGTGTTACACTGTCACAAAAGGAATACCAGTAACGACTTAATAAATTTTTACCTGCGTCAGTCGATGGTTATTAATTTGGTATTGTTGGTTTGTTTTGTATGATTGACTTTTGTATGATTTGATTTAAGATGTTATGTTTTTATGAATGTAGTAACTCGAAATCTATGCGTTAGATGATGTTTTGTTACGAACGATTTGCCCTGGCTTCGCTCGGGTGCGTCCCTTGGTACGATTTTGTTTGCAATTTCATGGGTTTTAAAAAAAGTAGCCTAAGTAACTCGTAATAGCATCAGCTATCTCGGTCGGTCGAAATCGGTCTAGCCTTTTCAGAGATTGGCCGGAACAAACAAACAGACAAAATTTTTAGAAATTCTTTTTTTTCTCATTAGTACCGTATATGCTTACATATGCATTTAGTAAAAAGCTGTTAGTTTGTCAATACAAACATACACTTCAATTTATTTATCTGTATAGATTTTTTTTAAAAACAATTTTTTTTTCATATTTTGACAATGTTAGACACATCCATCTCATACATACTTCTTATTAAAAAAAATCTTATGTTTCTAGAATATGCTACAAAAATAAATGCTTTTTTTTGTTTTGGACATTCATTAATTCAAGTAAAATAATACCTACTAAGATAACTTTAAAAACCTTGAAGTGAAAACCTCTTTTTGACAATTTTAGAATGACAGTGTATAGCGTAAAGTTTAAAAATTAAAATATAATTATATAGATATAATAAAAATGCATGTTTATTTTGCAAAACCGGTTAAAAAAAAACTATAACATCTAATATCACAATTATTAAAATAGTTTTTTTAATTAATATCGAATATTCCAGAAGCTGTATAACGAGTACACGCTTGGCGGAAATAATAAAAAGCGGACCGCGACAGTTACAAGATTTAATCATAGCTGGGTTTTGATTTTTTATTTTCATTTTTGTCATTGTATATTTTTTTTTATTTTGAACACCGTTTAGTAGTTGTCATTTATTTTTTTTTTTTTAGCGAGCAATCAAGTAATAAACATTTATTTGTTAGTTCATATGAGAATATTTCCAAAAATAGTTAGGCATATTTCAAATAATCACTTCACTGTTGTACATGAGATTCATTAATTCGAAGATGGTACTATAATTTAGCATGATACTGGTCTGATGAAGAAGCCTGATGGTTTCTATCGGAACCTCTCGGCTATATTGTGGTAGTCTGTAAATAAAAACGTATTTTTAAAAGAATTTCTTCATTTATTACATGGATACATTCGAAGAACGAAATTTATTTAATAGAAAAAGTACTCTCATTCAGAGGGTCGACTTAAACTTTTAGTACATCATTACTTGCGCAAAAACGTATAACATATTTTTTCCTATTTAAACCTAAATAACCGTTCATATAACATACATTGAAGTGTAAAAAAATGTAGTTTTAAGCGGTTTTAGCTGAAGTTATGTTAGTTTTTGTGTAAAATATTCACATTGTATTTGACTATTGAGAGTAATAAATATTTAATTATTAGTAGTTATTATGTACTTTGAACATTTTTCATTAGACTGTTTGTAATACTAAGTATTTACATATATTATAAGGATATTATGTAAGATAAATACAAAATAAAATTTCACTTTTTAAATATTTTTAACCTTTGAAGAGATAAAATTCTTGATAATCTTTGCTAGGAAATGTCAATTAAGAGAATGGAGACATAATTGAGATAGTCAGTTTTGCTTTCTTCCTGTAACGGAATGAATAATATTACATTTTTAACTTTACGACTAAATATATATATTCTTTCAATGTCCTAAGTATGAGTATCTCAATAGCAATCTGGTAATTTTTGCATTTTTTTTGGTAATAATTTTACCATAATGAATGCGTTGATAAAATTGTATATTTTAATTACGACTTTTAATTAGTCGTGGTAAAAATGTTTATGTAAAAATTAGTTATTAATTATTCAAAGTTTAAAGTAGAACGGCCAAAAAGGGTAACATTAAACAAGCACTTTGCTTGTTAAAGAGTAATTAAGTTAATAAAAAGAATCGCTCTCGGGCTAGATAAATATGTCCTACCTAATTAGTTATAGAGGTTCGATTTCTGTAAGAGTTAATCGCCAAGCCTTAATAATTAATATTAATGATTATTTTTCGTTCTTACTGTTTCCTATTTAACTACTAAACGTACTGCTTAATAATAATGAAATTTTAAAATCAAACACTAGCATTGTATTAAAAGCAAACACACCGTACCGAATATTAAGAATAGCCATTAGAAAAATGTTACAAGAAAAATATTTCGGACGTCAGTCTACATTCAATTATTGCGACCTTGTGAATCACATCTTCGAAACATGATTGAATACGATCAAGTGAAAAAAAAAGTTATTTCCTTGGTAATAAAGTGGAAATTCCTATGTGCCAATAACTGTTCTAGGCCGTTAGTATAAATGAAATAAATATAGGTAAAAGAGGTCACGAGAAAGAGTTTTTTTTTTTATGTTTCGAATCTAATTTTTGCGTATAATCTTAATATATATTTAATTTTAGTCGAGCCGTATAGATTTTTTTTTAATTTAGGGATTAGGAAGCTATAGTAGTAATTTTTACTTTTTTTTGTTATTTCTTGGTGATGGACAACTGACATTTAATTTTTTTCCACGTCCCGTTATGTTAGAATCACTTTTTATTTATATTAATTAATTTGTTTGTTATTCGAAAATAATTTGTAATTTATTTTTGCTATCCGATGATAATATTAAAATAAACTAAAATCTAAACGTACATAATATGTAATACCAGTAACCAGATCCAGATCTTGTTAATTTCAATATTTACGCAATGTAATTTGGCGCAAATTGAGAGTGAAAACTACTTAATAACTGTTTATTTTCCCTAATAAATGAACTATAAAGGTAGGGTTTTATCTTTAACGAATTTTAAAGTATAAATGAATTTAACATTCTCTTTGCATTGTCAAAAATGTTTTTTTGACAACCCTTAAGACTGTCAACGGGCAAGGGATTAATACACTTCTCCCTATCGCCCCATTGCAATGGGGTAGAAGAGATCTGTTCCAGCCAAGCTATTATAAAAATCTTTTTAAAGATTTATAAATAAGTTAGGCCACTATTACACTAGCAATATAAACAAGAGGATAACAGTGTTATTCGTATATGATCAGCGCGTCCATCTCAGCCTGCGGAGACCAGCAGGAGGAGGGTCAACTCAAACAATACCATGTGGAGCAACGCTTCGCAGACCGACGATACAAAGTGACCAGTGCGAGAACCTATTTCTATCTGAATGAAGCGGCCTGTGAGAAGAATATGGAAGCGTTCTTAAATAGCATTGACGCTGTGGCTGGTATGTTAATTTTTTTTATTGATTCCAAAATGTAGTAAATAGTCAATTTTGTGTGTGATTTCTTCGGTTTGTTTTTGAATATTACTTGATAATATATTCGCCAGTTTTGAACCGTTTTCATAAATCCTTTATCTATACATACGCATAATAAAATTGGAACTAAGTCGAATCTGTACATTAAATTTATTCTGAATCTGTACATTATATTTTTTGGAAAATCTTATTGAAATAGACATTATTATCGATACAGAGGGCAAATCTATAGTTTTTTGAATTTTTGTCTGTCTGTCTGTGTGTGACCGTATCACGGAAAGACCACTGAAGGAATTTTGATAAAATTTGTTACGAGGATAGTTGGTTATCCGGGTCAACATATAGGATACTTTTAACTGCGGAAAAATCTCTACTAAACGTTACTAAATGTAAGTAGGGACGAACCCGAGCTGAGCAAGGCTAGAGTCGTTATGAATGAATCTTCCCTCTAGGACAACATTGTAAGTTTCCGGAAAATCTAATCTAATTAATCTACTTCAAAAATGGAGGAAGTTTATGTTCGTCTACCTATGGGTATTTTTATGTACGTTTACGGATACCTTTATCACTATTAGGTTGATTTATAGATAACGAAAGATGAATAGCGCTACGAATGTTTATTAAATCGTTTATTGTTATTGTATTTGACACGCTTGATTGAAATGATAAATTACGACTTCATGAATAAATAAATTCCAATGTAAATGTATTTAATGGTTTATTTTCTTTTTTCAAGGAATTACTAAGAGTACGGGTTTGATGGCTGTTAAACTGACAGCGCTCGGAAGGCCTCAGTTACTTGTAAGTGGTTCTTACATATTTTATTAAAAAGAAAGTACCTAAAAATGAGCTGAAATTGTAGTATGTAAGTCTGACTATTATTATAAATGCGAAAGTTTATATGTGTGTATGTTGCAAGGCAAGTGATAATCATGTTCAAAATGATTCGCACATGAAAATATCAAAGCTCTCTTACTTTAACCGGGGTTAGGACCCGTTTCACTTGGTTTTCCAAGCAAGCGCGCTACCACTGGGTTACGTGACCTTAAATATTTCGCAGGTATTCTATGATAGCGCGATGTAATTCGGTACAACGTCTTCTACTCGTATAAATAAATATTTTTCGCCTACCAAGAAAATTCTTTGATTTGTTTTCATTCGAGCTTCGTTCGAGGGCGAATTTCAGTGGCCACTTTTATTGGGCTGAAAAGTATTTTAAACGAAAATACAGAAAGTTTTTATGCATTTGAAAAGTTAATTTATTGCTCATTTCATAATATTCCTTAGATTTCTTTATAAAAATCTTACTTTCTCAAAGCGATTTTCGTTTTGCATGTGTATCTTTGTTTTTTCATGATATAAGTTATATCGGATAAAGAACTAACAAACACACACTCGTCCACAAACTTTCATATACTGTAACATATGTATTATAAATTAGTCTCCCAACGCGTGAGCTTGCGTTTGTTCGGGCTTATCGCAGAAATTACTGAACTGATTTTCATGCTGTTTTCTCCGATAGAAAGAGGCATTATTTAGAAAAGTTATAGTCTATAACTATAAACATTTTACGAAAATAAGAAAACGGAAAAAATCGTGCCCTCTGAGAATTTTCTTTATATGTATTCAAACATAAGATTTCGTACTTTTTAGAAAAATATTTTGGCTTTTAATTTACCAATTATAATGCATAATTTCTGTTCTATAAATGTTACCAACTTTTTCAAAGTACAGTCTTGCCGAGTTGCCGTCCCACTGGAGTTTGAAGGAATAGAGAGTGGACGTTGTGTATGCGCGTATACTTGTTTATAGATTGTATTTCATTTTTATATGTTGGGACAGCATCATCTAGTTCCATGGTAAGCTACGAGGCTTGTTATGGATACCAGATAGTTGATTAACTACACATACATAACTTTAAATACATACATATTATAAATAATATAAACACCCATGACTGGAGTACAAACATTCGTACTCATCACACGAATGCCCCCAGCGGGACTCGAACTTGTGCCCTCTAATATCTCCTGCGCAGATAGCTAATCTCACTGAAATTGGCCGCCATGGCCGAAATCGGTTAGGAGAACATTAGGGTATTCATGCAAAGTAAATCTATTATCTAACCCCTAGCTGCAACTGTCGGAAGTGATAATGCGCGCGCGCAGCTACATGCAGCAGATCGCGGGCGGCACTGGCAACGTGCTCACACACCACAAGACTATCGAGGACTTGCAGCGCTACCTTGGCGACCTCAGCTCCAAGCCTGAAGTCCAGGAGTTCATGAAGAAGATCACCTCGGATAAGGAAGGGTGAGCTTTTTTCTTTTTGAATAAGGATTTACGGATTTACTGTTTAGGTCACAAAGGAGTGTTAGGGGCATAAACGTTTGGAATCTCCTGTGTTTATTTAAAAAGAGATCTCAATATTGTTGTGTCAAACCTATTTTTGCAAAAAATTAAACACCGTTCTTCTTTCTATACCTGCAGTTCTACATTTTTTCTGAAATGATTATATGTGACCTTAAGAAACTTTAAACTAAAATAACAGAATCACATATCAAGTAAATAAATGACAATGTAAAATGTACCATATGTATTTTTCATACGGTTCAATTTACATTGTATTTTTTTATATTGCTTACATTTTAACGCTTCAAAGGTTTTCTCACCGTTTAAAACCTTTAGTCTGCTACTGTTATTTTTTTATCGAATCTTGATATAGAATTATAATAAGATACATCTAATTTGTTTTTGTTTTAATTTTAATATACATAACCTATATTATATAATTGTAGTTTAATTCTTTTTTATTTATTTTTTATTTTATGGGTAAGATGAAATTTCGCTTTAGTTTATTTAAACTGTAAAAGATAAAAGTTTAGTTAATCTTTTTAGCACAATTGTTTATACATTTATTTACTTAATATTATTAACTGTGACATTAGATAAATATTTGTTGCATAAATTTTAGAGAGATAGTAGTTTAGTAGTTTATAAGATAATATCACACATTCTTAACGAATAGAAAATTTCGTTTGCTACTTTGCATAGGAGTTTTAGATATATACTTAACAAAAATTAAAATTAATCGAATCGAACTCGCACCGTCACATTAACATAACAATATTTTTATAAAATTAAATAAGGGTGGAGTTAACATTTTGGTGGATCTCTGTATGGATAAAAAACACAAAAAACCATTTTAATTTATGATATAAAAAAAATCTCAAATAGATGACCAAAGAGGTCAAAGATAATGTGATGAGTAATTTTATTTTTTGTAGTCCAAATTTATTTTCTGGGATTCCCCAAATTGAAATTGAAATGAAATTCTATGTTGTTTGCCCATACATAAATATTTATGTATGAAGATGTATTTCAGTGTGCTGCATTTATTCCCCTGGGACCGGTCAGTGGCGACTACTTGTTATCGTAAGAGTTGAGTCGTAATGTCGCTAACTGCCGTGAGTTTAGTATCTATATGTGGACTATAAACAATTAATGGAATATAAATGAATATAATTAATATTATAATTAGCTTTTGTGGTAGGATATTGTTTTATTTGTTGGGATATAGTTTTTTTTTGGTTTTAAATCATATACTATAGTCCAATTAAATGAGTCTTTAAACTTTTTAAAACAATTAAATCTTCGTTCTTTTTCAATATCTTCAAAAAATCCATATTGCAGTGATTTTTTGCGCTTTTCTTCAATTCATTTATAAAGTACACAGTAGTACAGTGATTCACAATTTTAAAGTACCTATTTCAAAGTCTTAATTATGATATAAGAATGCATCTTATAGTCTATCTCAGTAGAATTTCAATTATAAGACTTATTTAATTGGCCAAAAAAAGTTAAGTATAGTACGTGTAACCAAATATAGCCAGTCCACATGTAGATTCAATGCTAGAACCACTCTAAACACTTTTCTAAATAAGCTTTGGCTATGCTTGAGTGAAATACTTACAAAATTTTCTATTGGCTTCAAATACTGAAGGACCAAATTTTTAATTGGTATTAAAATTGTTAGATTTTGTGCGTGTTACCATTTATCAACAAAATACAATCAAGCCTTGTAGCAGGAAAGTCGAATTAAAATATTTTTAATTTATTTGTCGGTTGACAATATTATTAAGAAATCTTAAGCCTTATTCACACGGTGAGTCAAGAAACGAATATTGAATAAAAAAGATGCGCAATATGAAATGTACCGTATGCTTTCTTACGTACGATATATATTTTTTCGAGATTCTCGCCTCGGAAATATGATACTCTCCGTGTGGTATGGACTTTTAATAAAAGCTGACTTTAAAAGTCTGGAACTGAGTTATTTAAATAAAATTGTGTATAAATATTATTAGAGATAATACCTATGTAAAATTTCAAAGCTATGGCATTAAATGGCCGCATTCATTGCTATAAAGACTCATCAAGGAATTTACTAGATTATTCTCTAATCAGGAATATGCGCAGCACTTTATATACACAACATCATTTCTACAAAATACAAAGACTGCTTTTATTTGTTTCTTTATTGATTTCGCTATTTTCGCTTATACACCAAATCTGTCCATTTTCTGGAGCAGTGGACAAAGATTTTGTTTTTGTGGAAACACTTTAAATGTTTATGTTGCTCCATTTTCAACTGGTTATTGGCTATCAAAATTAACAAATGTCTGTTTGGATTGGCTTATTGGTATTTTATTTGTTAACACACGTTGAACGAAATGTACTTTCTAATAGATATAACTTGTGCATTCTTCTAATTTTATTATTTTGTCTATTTCTGTAAAATTTCCAAGTTTGGATGGATTCTCATCGGCTCTATTGAAAATAAAATCAAGTAATCCATGGTGGATGCCTTGCGTGGCTTAAAGGAATAAGGAAATATTTTTTCCATGTTTATTAGTCTTGTGATTCCAGCTCATTTTGGAGTTTCAGATGTAAATAAAAATATTAAAACGATGTTCAGACTGACTGACCGGTGTAATGCCGCTGTCACTAAGATTTACTGTAATATAATGGGAATTGTTAAAATAGTGTAGTTAAAAAATTAAAAGTATGCAGGAGTTATGTCATTGTAAAGTAATTTCTTTTAATATGGCTTTGATCTTCTGCTCCTGTTTTTTTTAGGGATTTCATCTTACCTCAAGTTCCATTATGTTTTCTAACTAAAAATATAGAAATTGCTATTTATATTTCTTTCTGTTTCAGTGCCTTTTATTAAAGAAAATAATAAAAATTTTACTAAAATGGGAAAAGAACTTATCTAATAATTTTTTTGTTGTTTAAAATATTTACTTCATACAATGCAGTTGCACCCAGAAAGAATCAGATGAATTATATTATTATTATTAAAATATCGTTATATATTACAGTATCGTCCATTTATTCCCATGGTCGAACATTCTGGATAAGGATATGGGTCTGTCAGACTCCTTCCGAGTTCCAGATCCTAAAACCGGTCAGATGAGGCGTCTCATATCCCAAATATCCCCAAAGGAAGAGGAAATGTTCAGAAACATGCTTCGAAGGTTAAACAGCATTATCAAAGTAGCCAATGAACGTGACGTCAGGATCATGATAGATGCTGAACAAACGTACTTCCAGCCAGCTATTTCTAGAATCTGTTTGGAAATGATGAGGAGATACAATAAGGTATGGATTTATTTGTAAATTTTTATTTTTATTTGCTAACACGAAAATTGAATCGATTTTTGCTGCTTATAATTATTTTTATATAATTATAAGAAATTATCTTTGTAGGTGAAACTATTTTTATGAGTTAAAACCAGTCACCCTCGTTTGTGGATCGATGATGGATATTCCGAAGAAACGATTGTTTGATGAAAAGATTCTTTAAACTTTGAAATACTTTATTTTCAGAACAAGTTCCTAGTATTCAATACGTACCAGACGTACCTGAAGAGCACCTACAACGAGATCGTGACCGACCTCGAGCAAGCGCAGCGTCAGAACTTCTACTGGGGCGCCAAGCTCGTGCGCGGGGCATACATCGAACAGGTATGCTGTTATATATGTATATAAAATTAACATCTTCAGGTAGGTTTTTAAGAAATTAATTAAATTTCTAAGAAATCTATTGTTAACTGTAACGCCGGCGTGTCCGTGGTCGTGGAGGGAATATTGAGTAGTTTTGTCAGTTTGTATTTGGTTTATGTGTTGCATTAATATCTTATTGCAATTATGATATGTGTGTGGGATCATAAGTAATCAAATTCTGATGGGACGATAATTCGAACCTTTCGGTGAGAGAACAGGCGCAGGACCGGCGTGACTTTGCCACGGCACGGAGGTGACCTACCGCCAACTTTCCAACTCCGGGCTGTTGTTATTGGGATTTCCACCAGAAAGACTTAACAACTAATCTTGCCCCGGCCCAGGCATCGAACCCAGGACCCCGGATGTGCTGTGTGCAGCTTTTCATGTTAGCCGCAACATCATCAAGGTAGTTAAAAATAAGTAGTACTGTAAGGCGATATAGTTAATTCCAAAAACACTTATGGAAATCTAATACATGGCACAATCTACATGTAAAATCGACGTTAAGACTAACCCTTACACAGCTCGGGTGTTTCCTACGAGCCTGACAATTAATTTAGGTCATAGTCCATCTGTGTATTGAATTTCATCTAAATCTTCAATCGTTTCAATGTACTATACAACTTTCGCAATATAGAAATTGTAGTTTGATATCATGATGTCCGTCGCTTACTGCGTGAAAGAAGGACAAACCAACTTACACTCTTTCTCAGTAATAACACGGATTACTAGAAAAGCTTCATACACGAGCAAGCAAATTATACTAGGACTGAGAAATATTTCTGCCATATTATAATTAGTAACTATTAGGGTATAATTTAAATTTTTGTAAATAAGTTTTCTCAATGGTCAACAGGAGCGCGCTCGCGCCGCCGCCATGGGCTACGAGGACCCCACGTGCGAGAGCGTGGATGCCACCACCGCCTCCTTCCATCGCTGCCTCAAGGAGATACTTGGCAGGGTTAAGGTGAGTTTTTTTAATTATTTTTTTTGGTACAGGCGATGACGATTTTATTCTATATTTTATTTTATTATTAGGTCAGGCTAGTATTTCCGAGATTTTCAGATATCAATTTCATTTAATATTTTCTTAAGTCTAAGCGACATTTTAAATATTTTGTCTTTTTGGATTATGTAGCGATTTTATTTTTCGTATTTTGTGTTTTATCATGATAATCGTTTTTGAAGTATGGATATCATTTTTAACGAGACTAATTAGATATTTTAAATAAAACTATCTTTCAGGTTTTTTCGCGGATTTATTTAGATTTTTGGTTGGTTATAGTTTGGGGAACCAAAAATCAAAATAAATCCGAAAATCCGAAAAGATAGTTTTATTTATAATGTCAAATATTCGTGTAAATTTAAGAAAGTATTATGATACCAATTCAAACAAGGTAAAGGAAAACATTGTCAGTAAATTTAGGTGTTGTTTTTTAAATTACACATAGGTAGATAAATAATTATAATATACATATTATATAGTAAACATTTTAAATAACATTTTGATTCTATAAAAGTAGATATTAGTTTTAAAACATTAAAATATGAAGCTCGCCAACTTACAGTAAACCTAAAAAGTAGAGTGACGTGAAAAAGCTGATATATTTAATCTAATTATCTATCTTTCTCACCCAGAATGAACAAAAAGACCGTCTGGGCATCATGGTGGCGTCGCACAACGAGGACACGGTGCGCTACGCCATCCAGCTGATGAAGGAGCACGGCATCGGGCCCGGCGACAAGGTGGTCTGCTTCGGCCAGCTGCTGGGCATGTGCGACCATATCACCTTCCCGTTAGGTTAGTGGGCTTAAAAATTTGATTATATTGATGACTATATCTATTAATTCATTATAATACTAGCGAGTAACGAATCACCCTCGCTTCGCTCGGGTTCGCCCTAGGTTGATTCCCCATACAAACTTTCATCCCCATTTAACGGATGATTTCAACCCTTTAACGGATGATTTCTGAAATAAAAAATATCCTATGTCCTTTTCAAGGTCTCAAACTATCTTCTTACCAAATTTCTTCTAAGTCGGTCCAGTAGTCTTTGAGTTTATTCGTTACAAACATACAAAAATATAAATCTTTCCTCTTCATAAAGAGGATAGATTTATTATTTATAATAATAAACTATAGTAACTGTAGTAGTTTATTTATGCAAAATTGTTGCACTCCTTAAGTTCATATAATCCCCTATTTTCCATCCTCAGAAGATGTAATGACTAAAACTTAATCTTCTCCGTTATTTTTTAAATTGAAATTTTCAAAATAACGGATTTTCATACAAACTTTCAACCCCTTTTAAAAGACCTTTCCTAGTTCAAAAGACTTCTTCCTATGAGGAATGCACCTGCAAAATTTTAAGTTTGTAGCATATTCATACTTAGATTAATCACTAAAAGTGTTGATTTGAAACTGAGTATGCGTGGAGTTTGGATGATGGTATAATAATTTGCTGTTATTGAGCTGATCTGATGGAGATAGAGCCAAGAAGTTAATAGTAGAACTAAACATTATTATTGTACTCACACGATAAATGAGATTTTCCTCTAAACCTAGCTCTGCACCAGGTTTATAAGCTTTTACTCCTCAAAAAAAATTGAGTCAAAAAATACGAAAGAACCGACAAACACGCATACATTTATTGTAAAAAAAATATATAACACTATTAATTGATCAATAACATATTTTAACTAATTTCCCAGGTCAAGCCGGCTATTCTGCATACAAATACGTGCCCTACGGCCCTGTAGTAGAGGTCCTGCCGTACTTATCGCGTCGTGCCAATGAAAACCGCGGCTTCCTCGCTAAAATCAAAAAGGAAAAGGGCCTCTTATTAAAGGAGATATTCCGTCGAATCTTCACCGGACAAATGTTCTACAAGCCCGTTGGAAACTACACACCAGTCTAACTTGACCTTCGAGATAGAACTAAGCCGGCTTTACACATGGCTTATGATGTGAGCATATGATGATACTGATTGTTTAATCAGTGTGTTCAATCTTAATCAGTATTTTAAACCGACTTCAAAAAAAGAGGTTCTTGTTTCATGTGTATGTATTTGTGTGTATGCTACGCAAAATCTCTATTAATTTCATGAATAAATTCCACGTCAAGACTAAGAGGTCGGTGTAACTAAGAGGTCTATACTCGAATTTAGCCATGTGTATTGTCAGTTCAAGACGGCCCAAGGCCATCTAGTAATAGCTGTTTGTTCGAATGTTGTTAGCCGTAACTTATTATTGGATTAGGAGATACTTTGATAAGGACTCAAGTCTGTACTGAATTTATGCAAGTTGGAACCTTGTTGCACTAATGTTACTCTTATATAATTGTTCGAATGGATTTTAAAATAAATGAGGGCTGATTAATTTGCCGGGTATTAATTATTATTTTCAATTGTATTCAAATTAGTATGTCATTATTATTGAAATTATTTAACAGTATTTAATTTCTAGGTAACTAATTATTTATTTATTAATATACAGATTATACATATATAAATGTCAGCTTGACAGCTTCAGCCCTCTTTCTAAGATTCATGAACTCAAGCATACAAACTTAAAAAAAAATGCGATAAAAATCATTTTTGATGCGTATTCAGTATTGTTATACATAGTATTAGTTGAGATGGCTTTTGAGTATAAATGAAAAGGCTAGTCGTTAAAAAATAGTGCTTCGTCGTTTCGGACATTTTGGATTGTTAACGTATTATTTGTAATAATATTTTTGACACATCTTTATATTATATATTTGGCGTTTTTTTATTTTGTCTTTGAAAATTTAGATCATGTACAATAAATGTTCGAAATGGTAGCTGTTTTACAGTGCGAGTTTTGTTACGTGGCGCTTGGTTTAAAGGCCCTTCAAGGTATATAAGGGACTTTTCAAATTAACGATTCCTCCACACCCGCTAATAAACTGAACTAAAGGATTCCTTGTATCATAGCGTTACGTTAAATAGGGAAATAAAATTGGCTGTTAGAACCTTGTTACACTGTAATGTGTATTTCATGGTACTTATATAAGCTTTTCTCTGAAATACGTTTGTACATTTTGTGAATTCCGTATAAACCTTTTTCTATAAGGTTTTAAAATATGTACAGATTATAACAACACGTCAACAGATATCGTATTTAAATTTATTTAGTCTGTTTTTGCTGCTTTAGATTTATGACAGTTTTTGGCGACTTTGATTTAGATATTATATCAGAAAAGTGTGCTTGAAAAATATTAATGTCTGAAGTCTTGCACTTCGTTAATTCTATTCTTGATTTAGAGCAGAAAATGTAGACATAAATAGTATTTTTATGTTATTTTGACGAATTTATCAGTTGATCAATGTTTTATTATAATTATAATTTTTATTAATTTTAATGGATACTTAATTTTTATAATCGATTTTTAATAATTCAATTTTTCAATTATATCGATATTTCGCTAACCAAAATTGTAATCGAATCCGATTTTAATTTGGACTATTTGAAATGTGCAATTATTCAAAATTGATAAAAATACCATGAATTTGTATAGATGGATTGGGTGAATACGATATCTCAATACTACGAATAAAATCGATTACTAATCGTTTCTTTTCTCTTCCGTAGAACACTTACAATTAATAATAAGAGCCTTCTCTGAAGAGCTTTCTATAATTAATTAACAAGGACAATAATGTATTTCTAAAAACTTAAATATTCACAGATTAATAGTAAGGACTAAAGACCTGTTAGAACTATGTCGAACTATAATATGTTATTTTGTTGAGACAGAGGGACTTGAGAATGCATTTTAACTGTGTTCCAGATGTTTGGTCGTCCATTGATTATAGCGCGGTATAGCGAGGCATAGCTTTGAATAGCGGGTTATAGCTTTGAAAAGTGGAGTATAGCAAGCTATTCAAAATATAATTCTGGATATATGCTATAAAATCAATGGACGATCCAATTTAATTATTAAGTTAGATCCTGTTTTGTGTTATTTATTGTATAATTTAGTGATTTTCGTCCAACGATGTATTAGTGTTGTTTTCAATATATGCTCAATAGAACGTTGGGGGTTTTTCTTTAAATACATGTTGTTTTAGTGTCGATATTATATTTATCATAATTTACAAATCAAATGTGAGATATTCGTTCAATTATTTGAAGTGAATGCTGTATTTTTCAATCAGTTCCTACAATTTATTATAGGCGTTACGACAAGCCTATCGGTTAACTTACCTCGTAAATGCTTCGATCAATGTTAGAAGCCAAACATTTTTGTTCCGAATAGTATGTTCTTTTTTAAATATTTTTTGTGTTCATTTTATTTATAAGCGGTTTATTTCTGTATCTGCGCTAATAATTGTGATGCTAATTTAGATTATTTTACAAGTAGACATTTTAATAAAGAAAAAGTAAAATTTTCTTTTTTTTTTACCTTTAAATTAAGTAAGTAAGAAGTTTAGTATGTTTATATTTAATTGCCTCCGTGGTTTGGTATTTAGCAAGTACGGCTGCAGATCGGAGGCCCTGGTTTCGAGTCTCGAGTCTGGCTAAGTTTAATTATTAAATTGAGTGTCAAGTAATTCTCAGTAGTAGTCCGGAGTTGGGAAGTTGGCGATGTTTCACCCCCGTTCCTCGGAGACCACGTGTCGCGAGTCATAGTGTAGTCCCATCGGACCTTGAGAGTAATATGGAATAGAGAGTGCACGTGTATCTGCGTGAACAATTGTGAACTATAGTATCTCCTGCGCCGTTGCTAGATTCAGTGAAATTGGCCGCCGTGGTCGAAATCTGTCAAGAGGACATCATGTTTCTATCTATTTATGTTTAATTTTTTTGACACTAGTTTTTCAAACAAAATAGGAAAATTTTGATCTAGTCTTCATAGTTTTGATCGTGTTATACCAGTCATTAAGATGTTAAAATACTTAAATATAACGTATCATTTATACTATGGCAAAGTTAAAATATTCCAAACTATGAATTGACGATCAATAATGAAACATTTTTTATTCATAACAATCTTTAATATAAACACCCCATTTAAATACACTTATGACACAAAAGTTTTTCTGAAAAGTACACCTATTAAGTACAAAATTATACTTAAACAATTTATCGTTAGAATACCAAGATCTTTATAACTAAATATGTTTTCACAGCTCGATAGATCATCTTACCCTGTGTGGGTACTTGTGAATATACTTTTGAAGTAGTAAAAACGTGAACGCGTTTCACGAAAAAAGGCCTATCAATATGGCGTTAATGTCTTTATCTTATATACCCGACTGCGCGACGTAAATGAGGGTAATGTGTTTATCAGTCTATGTATGTATGTATGTTTGTTCCTATGTAGCGTTCTAGAGACCAAACACGTGAACCGATTTTGATGATTAATACCTCGTTAGATTCGTCTCGATAACGCGAGTGTCACAGGGTATATTAAAATTGTTAAAAATTAATGCATGCAGTCGTAGACATACATAGTTATGTAGGTTCATCTCGCAGCAAGGATGATACGTGTATGACTCCGACTGCACAATACTTAATTCTTTCGTCAACTTGTTTTCATCTTTTTAGTTAGCTTTTATGCAGTTTTTCGTGAAACGGACTATATTATATGTATAGTATAATTTGATATTTTTGATATAACTTTATAGTATTTTTCTTTACACCAACAGCGGAAACTTTCGTTCCAAAAACTAAGACCACACCGTAATGTTGTCTATATTGTTAATGCCCTATTTTAAAAGGCCATTTGCACGGAGAGTTTTTCGCATGGTTAAGGAGAAAACATCGCACACGCTATGATCGCATACAATAATTGACATACGATAATCGTATTGCTTATGGGAAGGCAAGGAATAATATGTCTCTATGAGAATCTTTGTGAATCTTTTAAGAGAAAAAATTTACGAGATTCACAAGTACCTATTCTCAATTTTTTACTCTCAATTTTTCACAATGTAGACATGATACATTTGACATTTGTCCAAGATTAGGTTTACAAGTTTAGTATAAATAGATTGAACTGTATTTAGAGCGAGATTTATTAGATTCTAGGGACTCACCCTCACCTCGCTCGGCTACCTAGGTACGTTTTAAACGATTAATATGGATTAGATAGACTATATATTTTATATTATATATATACAGTATACATAGGTATGATGAGTTGTTGTGGGTTGTATTATAGCGTGTTTTCCCATGGGAATGAGATAATCCCCCACGGTAAAAAGTAGTCTATGTCACTCTCCAGCCCTCCAAATATCTCCATACAAACAAAAATAACGCCAATCCCGTCACTCTGTTTCAACGTGAAAGAAGGATAAACAAACAAACACACTTTCACATTTATAATATTAGTATAGATATGGATTAATGATTACTATTAAAAACTCTGAGAGTTTACACTACTTACTCGGAGACTCTCGATATCCAAAGATATTTTAAATATCGTATGGCTCTATTTTATTATATTATTTTTATGTTCATATCTTCTAAACGAGAAACTCTCGGTGTAAACGGCGCTTTACCTATATTGATTTAGTGATATAACATTCGAAATACAAAATTCAGTTTATTATTCTACTAAAAATATACATTCAGTACAGACACAACCTTAAATTATATAAAAGCCTATGTTATTTAAAGTGTCTTAGAAGATAAACTAAATTATACAATTTACTCTCTCTACCTGTAGGTAAAAAAAAGTTGAGTATAGTATCAGATTTTTGGATTTTTAATATCTTATAACAGTAATAAATATGTATTGCAAAAATACTTAAGTAGGTAAATAGAAGTAAACGAATATAGTAAACTGTGAACATTAAGTATCAAATCACTTAGTTTCTTTTAAAGTTTCCAATCCGATGAAAAACGTCTGTAGAAGACTTGTATGTGTAAAATTTAATTAATTGATATCCTCAGTATAAAGTACTCACTCACTGTCTTATGAGTCACTCATGGAGCATCGTCCCAACAAATAGAGCAACGTACCAGCACCAGTCATGAGTTCTAACTAAAAATGAATAGAAGAATACGCAATAAGCCGTTTTCAGTATAATTTTTACATTTGGTAATTTCTTATCTATGTATATAGTATTTTTAAATGAAGTCCTATTCGTCCGTAAGCGCGTCACTTGAGAAGGGCTAGACCGATATGTCATTTTTTTAAATTCTTGTAATAAATAGTCCGAATATGGCTTTAAGGGAAAAATAGATAATCCCGGAAAATTGGGAATAACAGGAAACTTAAAAAATTATTACATTTTAATTTGACTTTAAAGATTATATAATAATTGAAATTGGGATACTCAGACAGACAGTCTGTCGGATCAGTTTCGTACTAAAGAACAAAAATCTGTCATCCACAACTACTTGTCAAATAGGGAACTCCCCTATTATCTAACAATTATATCTTCCTTATTCTGTGTAATAAATGATAGATAGATATTATTATTATCATGACTAGTGCTGGCATCTATACAAAACATTTTAGTTATGCACATTACTAGTGTCTTCTTCTTGTGCGAGCGGTACACCACTCGCAGTTCGTCGCTAGGAACGGTGTCGCTCAGTACGTCGCATGCGCAATTCGAGCACGGCGTGTGAGGCGAGCGCAGACGCAAGTGCAAGCGCTAGCACGGCAAGTTGCGTGCGCACACACAGGAGTGAACGAGCTGCACAGGCTAGTGCTAGACCAGCGTGCCGTGCTGCCAATATGGCTGACCACGGCCCCCGCCAGCCTCCTCCACCGACGCATATACCCGCCTTGATAAAATTTAAACGTCATTATTAAATCATATGTGTGTGTATGTATGTACCTTAAAAGTAATCCATGCGCATATGGCACTGCCTAAAAGAAAGTAGCTCATTTTGGTTTCAGTTCATCACAAACAGGTTCGAAATAAGCTACAAGTATGTTTTTAACATTTCACTATAACATGCAAAATCAGAATCAATTTTATGACTCACTAACTCACCTAATGTTGTAAAGTATTCTGTTATTTTTTAATTAAATATTGTATGGTATAGTATATAAGTACAGATATATAATATACATAAAATTCTAATATAAGAAAAGTATTTATTACCTGTAGTACATCCCACAGTGCTGCACAAGCGCCCCAGGCGGCAGCTGCGACCGCAGGTAGGGCTAGATCACTTCTGGCCGCTCTCCATCGCAGTAAAGCTAGGAGAAGTGATGCATGTGCCGCGGCTCCTCCTGCGGCTAGAGCCCCACGCCGGCCTCGAGCCGCTGCCATACTCAATGTTGCTGCGGCTAGGGTTTGCAGTGCCCCAGCACCGCACAGAGCCCTCCATGCACCACTCCACCCCCCCACGCATACCCCGTACCACTGTGAAGTAATTTTTATTTTATTTTTGAAACAAAGTACCTTTGCGACTGATACAGAAACAAAGCTAAATATCATGTTTTCTGTACACAACATACAAGACGTCAAATAGATAAAAATCGAACTACTATTACGAATGGGAAAGTTTATGTGTGTATGTCCGTTTCTCTTTTACGTTGCAACAGCTAGACTGAGCTTAGTATATAAATAGACTATGATCTCAAATGTTATTCCATACACGGTTTTTGTTGGGACGCAGCGAGCGAAGGGAGGGAAACCGCTAGTATTGTTAAAAAATATTTATTGATATATCAATTCATTATAAATCAATATTTAATTATAAATTTTATTATAATATTTTATAGCTATTTAGTTGAAAATTATAAAGCACTCTATCTAATAATAAAGTTTACCTTAATATAAGACGTATAGATAAATCCCTGTTGAAGACCGATAAATAATCCCATGGGAGCTCCAAGCAACGCTCTCGGATCCCTTATCACTGAGCGAGCATCTGGAGGTGGAGCTGGTGTTGATGCCGCCCCATACAGCCCGAGACACGCTGCAGCTAGAGCCAATACTGCCCAAAGAGCTACGAGGAACCTACGACCTTCCGAGCTCAATGAAGATCCCAATAAAAATTGAACTCCTGGGCAGCCTGCTGAGCCACATGTTCTTTCCTAAAAAAAGTTTCTTTTCTGATCATAATGTTTATTTACTCGTATTTTTTGTTATTGTGTTTATTAATTTTTATTTGAATTGAAAGATTGCCTGTGTATAAATTAGGCTAATACATCATTTAAATACTAAAATGTATTAGATTATTAATATTATAAAATACATATTATGATAGTTATGTTTCTAATACACACACATACACACACACACACACATATGTTATATATATTTGGGTTGTATTGTGACGTGTTTTTTCGCGGGAGTGAGATAATCTCCCGCGGTAAAAAGTCAGTCAGGTAAAAGTCTATGTCACTCTCTAGACCTCCAACTCTCTCCGTACAAAAAATTACGTCAACCCGTAATTCCGTTTCGACGTCAAAGAAGGACAAACAAACGAACAAACACACTTTCACATTTATAGTATGGAATATACTATATAATATAATAATAGTAACTAAAAACTTACCTCATAATCATCGTCCAAAGACTCATCTATTGACCATTTAGACAAAGATAAGTTGGTTGGTAAATTTGGTACTGGCACTAAAAGATTTTCGGGCCAAATTAATAAAGCTCCGCCCAGTAGGAGTGATCCAAACATGAGTCCTAAATCTTGAGCAGCTCGGAGCGCTCTTAACGCTCTTCGTAAAGCAATTCTTCGCCTGCACTCATCGCCGACAGCTTGCGCCAGAGATGTCGCAGATACAGATAAAGCTAGTGACATCGGCGACAAAGTTATGCCACAAATAGCATATAATGGTAGTAAAATTGACAAAGGAGTTTCTACAGTGTGTGCAATAAAAAGTATGCAGACCAGTACGTGAGCTACTGTGATAACTATTCGGGTTCCTGATTTTTGTAGAATTAGAGGAGAAAAAGGTGCTATTATTGCTGCAACTGTGTGCATAGTTGCTAAAGGCAGTGCTCCGGCTTCTGCACCGGCGACAGCTGTGAATGGTAACAGAGCTGTTGAAAATAGACCATTGGCTATACAAAGAAGAGTGAACCGTGAGACAAGAGGTTTGGGTATTTGGGGTGGTTGTCTCGTTATGAGACGACGAACGGAGGCAGCTCCGACTGATGATGCAGCGGATTCCCTCCGGCGATTGGCAACGACAGCAGGTACTTTGTTTGGAATTTTGGATTTCCTCCACGGCCATTCTTTTTTGCATATCGTGCTGACTGGAATCTGTAAAGATAAGTAATAATGACCATACATATATGAAACGAATCTCTTAAAATTATTAATACTTATAATAATATGAGTACTATACTTGTGAGATGACAGCTCGGTTTCGATGGGGGTCGGACACGGTCCGCGCGGCGGGGCGGATGCTGTGCGGCCGCGATCGCTCCGTCAGGTCCGGTAGGCTGCCCATACGACCATCTGGTTACTAGCTATTCCCTCTCTCAATATCCTGTAATTATTAGAGACAATTTTTTACATATTTGAAGTAGCGTATAATAAATAATGCGTCTAAATTTCAACCATAAAATATAGGTACAATATACATATAGGTATATCTATTTATATTGTACACACTATATATTTATATATCTTCGTACTGGAGACAGAAAGAAAGGCTTGAGTGGAAATAAAAATATATTCGCACTGATGATTTCCTTATCAATTAATTCAGAAAAAAGAAGAATAACGACTCTAATAAGTCAATGCTAGTCAATTATATTTAATTTAGTTATTATTTACGTACCATGTAATGTACTTAAGTCCATCAAATGGCTCTTTGTTGAGATAATGTACGTACAGACAGACCGACATGATAAAATTATAAATATTTTTGCTATTAAGTTAGAAAGTCAGTAAAATTCAACGTATAATAAATAAATTAAAAAAAATGATATGTCCCGTGATGTGTATCAAAAATAGATAATGTTAAGATTCTCGAAGTCACCTCAATATTTATTTTATGTAATGGGATGAACAAAGAGAACCAGCGACAGTTGAACATTTCTAAATTGCAAAAAATCTCAAGAATGGTTAAGTGTAGGTACTTATTCTCTGTGTATTATGTCAAGGATACCTTTCGACCTTTACCTACGAAAGAGCTTTAGAAGCAAGGTTGCCAATTGTATTTTTATTGCACTGCGGCGACGGGTTCCGCTGTGGGTTTTAGTGAGTAGGAGTCTCACAGTACCCTACCCATTGACGGCCGGTAGGGTCCCCATGATGGGTTTCCCCAGCGTCAACAAAAAAAAAAAAAAATACATAATACACTAGGAAAAATCGTATTTTGGTAAAAATTCTAGGAAAAAAACTGATACGCCGCATTGAAATTTCAATAAAAATACGTTGTAAAAAAAGGTCATCTGGCCCCTAGAAAAAGTCCCTTTGTAACTAAAAAAAAAATACAAAAAGTTTACAAATCTTTTGTTATTGATTTTTTATATCGACAAAATGAACATTATGTACTTAATATTATTTTTATATTTTGTTATGAAGATTGAAAATTTGAAAACATCGTATATTTTGCGTACGTCGTACGATGATCGTACATCTTACCAACTGCGTAAAAGATCGTATGAATACGATTTAAATCGTACGATTGGCATCACTGTTTAGAAGTCACTTTACTAGCGGGACAAGGTGCCATGGGCATTTTAGGCAACAAAAAATTATTTGCAGGTTAAAATTGGGTTTGACTATCATTTGTTGTATGGCTGAGAATGTTTTGACAAAGCTCAAAAGTTTTCGTATCTCATGAAAAGTTTTAGTTTCTAATATTACTTTACTTCAGAACAGTTGAATTTTAAATCGAAATTAATCAAAAATATTCGTGTAAACATACGCCAATATAGTTGAGAATTTTTTCCTCTTGTTTTCTTTACAGCATCTATAAGTTATTTTCAGTCTTCTTATGTTTTAATTTTTAATTTTAACAATTTAATTAAATTAATTTATTCAATACATATTTAATAAATTAATTTGCAGCAACTGCGTCACTTCTATTTATATTTTTAAATTAGAAGAAAAATGTCTTAAGACCAAAAATGAGTCGAAAATAATTTTTTGACATGTCAGTATAAAGAGAACGCAACTTCATTGTATTTTACAAACAAAAATAAGCCGAAAAAAGAAATAGGTAGAAATATATTTTAAGGCCTAATAAGGCTTAAAACATAAGAGATCTGCTTTACTTTGGATCGCTTTCAAGTATATAACAGTACATTAAACGTACAATACTGAGATCTCTTTAAAGCATCTAATTTAATTGAAGATTTGAATGAGAAGAACTCTGTTTAATTTTCAATACATATAATAAAATCAATAGTGAAAAAAAATCCATTCAATAAAAGTAAAAGCAAATTGTAAGCCGACATCAAGGCGCTTATAAATCAGAAATAACTGAACGTGGCTTTTCATTTACAATACAATAGATAGGTATATACTGAGATATTTTTTAGGACAGCAAGCCTATCTATGCATTTCAGAAAGGATTAGTTTAATAAAAATTTTTTAATGATTTGATATCGATACCATTGGCGGAAACATGTACATAAAAAAAATTTAAAATTTTGGATAGAAAAAAAATCAAGCAACTCAAGAAGTTTCTACGTGATATTGATCATTTAAAAAAAGTAGTTACACACATACGTACGTATAAATAAATATATTTTTTTATAAATATGTTGGGACATTAACACACGGTACGATTTAGTTCCATTGTAAGCTACGAGGCTTGTGTTATGGATACCAGATAGTTGATACACTTCTCATATATGACTTTAAATACATACATATTATAAATATAAACACTCACGACTGGAGTACAAACATTCGTGTTCATCACAGAAATGAATGCGGGACTCGAACTCGCGACCGCTGGTACAGAAAGTAGGGTCACTAAAAACTGAGCCAAACGTTTTTGCTGTTGTAAGAACAGCAAAAAGCCTAAGTAGATAGAGGAGGTAGATACAGAATGCCACTTCCTTAATAAACTTATGCTACACTTATAAGTCGACGCAGGCAGCGTATCTAAGGCAAGAATCGATGAGATTGAGTTCTTAGCGATCTTCCAGACTATATTGAGTTAAATATTATTAAAGTGCGGTACTCTGTTTCTGAATGCAATATTTATCAAAAATTGTTACATCAAAGCCTATAAGAAAAGCCTACAGAGCCAGCTTTGAAAAAGTCAGTTACACACGTTAGCACAAGAAATAGAACTCGAAAAAAAGAAGGAGTACCTAGAGCATAGGCGCTTCAATAATTAGGTATTGAATAAATTAACCGATTTGGTTCCACGTTAGATCTTACAATTTTTGTGGTAGTAGAACTGCGTTAGAAGACTTAAATTTTTGTACATGTTATGTTTTTGGTGGGATCTGCCTAATATTTTTCAATAACATCTCAGCTAATGAGCAAAGGTATACCAGAATATGTGTAAGAACAGTAAGTCTGGTTAAAAAAATATCATCTTCTCAGTAAAAACTCAAGGTATCAATTTTTCACTTTAATGGTTTATTTTTAGTGTCAACTAGCGGCTCACCCTTGCTTCGCTCGGGTTTGTCTCTAGGCAAACAGAAACAAATCTATCCCACGGGAACCGTACATTTTTCCGGGATAAAAAGCCTATGTGCTATTCCAAACTATAATTTATCTTTGTGCCTTACATTCAGATCCGTTGAGCTGTTTTGGCGTGATTGAGTAACAAACTTCCATCCAAACATCTAAACTTTATAATTAATTATTATATTAATTTTCACATTTGTAAATTAGTATAGAATGTTAAAAAAATATTGTCTATATTATAAAAAAATACGCTTGGGTTATTTGTATTCTTAAAGTGAAAAATTGAAACCTTCATTTTCACCGACTTTAAAGTCGGTGAAAATGAAGGATGGATTTTTTACCATATTCTGCAATATCTTTGCTTAGTAGCTGAGTTTTTGTGTTCCTAAAGTTTACACGAATAAAGCATTCCCTTATTTGAGAATCAAGTATTGTATTGTAATTTTTTTTAAAACAGTCATCTATACATATCTATAATAAAATTGTAACTAAGCCGAATCTCTACATTCAATATTTTTTGGAAAATCTTATTGAAATAAACATTATTATCGATACAGAGGCCGAATCTATAGTTTTTAGATTTTTTGTCTGTCTGTCTGCCCATCCGTCCATCCGTCTGTCTTTCTGTCTGTCTGTCTGTTACCGCATCACAGAAAAACCACTGGAGGGATTTTGATGAAATTTGGTATGGTGATAGCTGTTATCCGGGTCAAATATAGGATACTTTTTACCGCAGGAAAATGTCTCATTTCTGAGAAAAGATACAAAAACTGTAATTTAAGAATATACTAATATGTAAAACCTAAGAATTTGGTTTTTCGTCATCTGAACGCGGGCGGAGTCGCGGGAAATGCTAGTATATACACACAGTACACATATTAATTAGTTTTTTTTCGTAGAGATCTCTAGATCTTACACGATTGATTACAATTGCAAAGAAGAAACATACCAATAAGGAGAGTACTGTCTGTTTGACCATTCATTGTCTACGTGAAGTAATATATAAAATGATGTTTTCATATATACTGTGTAATATACAACTTTTAAGTTTAAGTATTAGATTATCTTCAATAAACATACAAACAAATAAGGTTTTATTAGTTATCAAAATGTAAGTATAAAGACAAGAGAGTTATTTTTGAACTATATAAAACAATGAATTCGAAATCAATATAAAAATTTCACCCTTGGGTGTGGAAATTTTACTTGAAATTTGTATAGAAAACTTGACCATCCTTGATGGACAACGTATTTATTTAAGAAAAGAAGAAAAATAGTTTAACATACATACTTATATATATACATAAAAAGCACACCTGAATTGAGAATTTGCTCCTTTTTAAATCGGTTCAAAATTCATAGTAATACATACCGCTATTAAAAGAGCTATCCGTAATATTCCCACGAAATTCACTGTACACTAGCTTAAAATACATTTTTGCTCATGTCTCGCTTATATTTAAAGGTCTTTGATATGATTTTGTATAGGGATATGTTCACTTATTCATTAAAGTTAAAACTAAATAAATAAAATAAAAAATAAATAAAATAAAATTGGGAGTAAATACATTGAAATACGTGTGTCGCGTCTAAGGCTGTGAAAATACTGGGCTGGATGCGAAATCAAGAATTTGGGGTAACCATAATTTTAGTGGGACATTGAACCTTTAGTTACATCTGATGGATTTGGACGTACGAGTAAGTCTCACTATTTTCGCCATAGTAAATGCTTCATCTTGAACGCACTCAGCGAGCTGTCTTAAAGGTTCTCTAAACCCATGCGTTTTCCCACCGCAGAAGTATTTTATACTTGTAAGGTACTCTTAGTCCGCAAACTATTTATACTTAGAAGTACACTACGTTTTCACTCCCAGTTCAACAAAGAATACTTAAACAATAAGCGTAGATTCAATAGAGTCTGCTCCTTGAGACCTAAGCGAACAGTGATGGCTGGACGTTACCCTTTCTTCTTAATGCCACTTCTGTATAATAAAATAAATAAATCTATTAATATATACCCACTTACACTAAAAAAAATATGTAAAATAAAACTTACAAGTTGGCTTCTAACCTTAAGTTATGATCAGACAGAGAATTTAATAAAATAACACGCACTAACATTAAACATACACAAACGCACATGTACATTCATAGTTCATACATAACATTCACACTCTTACTCACATAACCCACACTGACCCATTCACTACATATCTTTTATCTTCTTATTTAATTAATGTAATGGCCTTGCAATATTAGTACCAATTATTCCTTTTTTGCTTTACTTAAAATAATTTACTTTTTTGTAAACTTATTTAATTTATCTAAAAAGTTTGTTTACATTTTTGTTTATATAAATGTTATTTTTGACTAGTTTTTGAATGTATGTATATATTTTTTCTGTAATTTTGCTGGTAGAGGGCGTTAATAATTGCGACACAGTTTCTTAACTTCTGCAATTATTATCGTTTATAACTGTTTTTGCTATATATGTACTGAAAGTTCAATAAATAAATAAATAAAAAATGACCAAGTTTTGTTATTACGCTTTATTAGCTTCATTTGTAACTAGCTCTCTCAAATTCTAAAATCTCTTTTTTTATTAAACCCAATAAATTTCTAAAAATGTATCATCGATTTGAAACTTTTTAAATATGTATATGATCTGGATAACAATATAATATTTTTATGATATCGAGCTAGTCTTATAGCGGAGTCAAGAGATGGAAGGATAAATAAAACTTATTAAAGTGTACGAGAAAAACCATCGAGACAATTCGAGATTAATTGATTGATTGACGAGTCTCATACATAACAGTAAATACCGTTTTATAGTTTTTTAAAACCATAATTATTTTACGTTAGAACTGATCGTATTAGAATCTTAATGTAAGTAAACGAATGGATGGATAGAAAAACAAATACAACAAATTTTCTAGTAAATATTGAATATTAACTAAGACAAAGGGCATAAGACTTTATTTCTTAATAATGTCGCAGTTGCTGTTGGCCATAGTGGTAGTTACGATAACGTATAACGATAGATAGGCTATACTTAGTATTTAAAAATAATTTTTGAAGATAGATACTTTCAGAGATTAAAGCGTTTAAACATACCTCTTCAGCTTCGTAATATAACTATAGTATACAGTATGTGTATCAGTTAGAGCTAGGCAACAATATTATTTTATTATCATTTTACACAATACATGGTCACACTACACATCTGGGTAGAGAGGGTGTTTTGGCGCATGCGCTTGTTCGTAGATCCAGATGAGAGCTACACCGATAGATAAAAATTGCAACGAAGAAACATGTCAATATAGTGAGCGTACTGTCTGTTTGACCATTCATTGTCAAGGTGAAGTAATATATGAAATGATGTTTTCATGTAATATTCAAATGTTTTTGTACAAGTAATTTATCTCATTGGCTGTTATTTCTAATTAAAGTCTAAATTATTCATCTTATAGACAATATAAGTACTAAATTTTCCCACGATTCCATGATTAATTAATCTAAAGCTTAAAAATATATGTAAAAGACAATCTGAACATGGGATGCCATGGTTACGGGATGTATTATAAGAGAAGAACATTAATTTCATTATCTATAAATAATAGGCCAAAGCAATACAGTGCCGTTTTCTCCTCTGTTAGTCACCAGTTTTTTTTTGTTTTGTAGCTATTGCGACTTGCGAGCTTTACAGTTAGTTATCAATAAAAAATTGGAAACTTAGTTTTTTATATATAGGTAAATTCTATTCATATATAATACTAGCGAGTAGCGACTCACTTCGCTCGGGTTCGTCCCTAGCTTTCTACCCATTACAAATCTTCATCCCCATTTTCACTCCGTAAGGGATGATTTCCGGGATAAAAGTATTCTATGTCCTTCCCAGGGTCTCAAACTATCTTCTTACCAAATTTTATGTAAATCAGTTTAGTAGATCCAGAGATTACTCCCTACTACCTCACAAACTTACAAACACACAAACTCATAAACTTTACCTCGTTATAATAATAGTATAGATTTGCATCAAATTTTCAATAATGATTCCGGAATGAATATCGAATTTCAACCACAAAGCGAAAACTAATAATATTACATTCGAAATTTAATCATACTTTACAAACAACATCTTCTTCATACGTATTTTGATATCAATATTAGTAGAGTATACTTAAATAAACGTTTAATGTAATAATTACTTTTTATCTAAAAACATAAACTGACTTTAAAGTCTGTTTGAAAGGTATCAACATGGCTTTTTTGGCTTTTTTTTGATGTTCAGAAATGCGTTTACGCATACCACCTGCATAAATACAGGTGATTATGTAGGACTCGCTGACTAGAAAAGCAGTATTACCCATTAAAACGTCACGATGCCCCAAAGGCAGACCACAAAAACGAAGACGTTACTTACACGGTCCACTTTGCTGTCAAAGAAGTACCAGGAGCAACCCACATGGTACACCGCCCACCTAAGTGGTGCCCACCATTGCGTGAAGAAAGAATATTAAATATACTATAAGAATGTACATTGTACATATTAGTAAAAACATGTTTTAAAAAATATATAAATAAATAAATAAATATGTTGGTACATTAACACACAGCACCATCTAGTTCCATGGTAAGCTACGAGGCTTGGTTATGGATACCAGATAGTTGATACACTACACATATGTGACTTTAAATAAATACATATTATAAATATAAACACCCATGACTGGAATGGTCCCCAGCGGGACTCGTACCCGCGACCGCTGGCACAACAAGTACGGTCACTACAAACTGAGCCAAACGTATCGTCAATTAATTAATTACATAATTTATTTATATTGAAGTTTTTACACTTGAACAAAAAAACTCTTAATTTGACATAACAAGAATTGTATAACCCAATTTCTTTTGAATTGTACTTATATTATCTTCTTTATGGCTTTTAAGCGTGCGTTTGAGTTATACGTTTAATTGTCCGATGTCACGTACTTGTAGAATAGAAAAAATATTATAATATCACGGTGGAGATTATTCAATGAAGTAACATAACAATGTCATATTAAGCCATTATAGAAAAAAAAAACAATGTCTTATTTGATTTGACATCTAAGGTAAGGTAAGGTACTAAAGAATGTTGTAGTAATTTAAATAAAACTATCTTTTCGGATTTTTTCGCGGAATTTTAATTTTTGGTTTCTCGACGTTTTGAAAGCTTTACGGCAATCATGATCACGTAGAGACGGTCGATTTGCGAAGAAATCGGAATTTTTTTTTAATTTAAAACTAGTGACTTTTAATGACAAAATGTTTCATTCTAATGAGTGGTTTTTTTATATAAAAATTGTCATTAAGTCCAGTATAAATAAATAAATATGTTGTGACATAAACACAGAGTACCATCTAGTTCCATGGTAAGCTACGAGTCCTGTGTTATAAATAAGAGATAGTTGATACACAACACATAACTTATACTCATTATAACTTTTACACACTATAACTTTAAATACATACATACTCGTATTATGAATATAAACACCCATGACTGGAGAACAAACATTCGTGTTCATCACACAAATGAGTGCCTCTAGCCGTACTCAAACCCGCGACCGCTGGCACAGCAAGTAGGGTACACTACAAAATGAGCCAAACGTGTCGTCTATAGTATATATTTTCAACTTTTATTATCATACTAATACTAATATTATAAATGTGAACGTTTAGATGTTTAGATGTTTGTTACTCAATCACGCTAGAACGGCTGAACGGATCTAGATGAAAGGCACAGAGGTAGATTATATATAGTCTAGAACAGCACATAGGCAACTTTTTATCCTGGAAAAATCCTCGTGGGATAGGTTTGTTTTTGTTTTGCTCGCTAGCAAATCATAATTTGAGTTTTAAATATTTTAAACTTAAAGTAGAACTAGAAAGTTCAGAAATTCTGCTCTAATTTCGGTTTTAAAGCGTACATCATTTGAGTAAATTTTACCAAAAGCTTTTTTTAATTTCCTGCCTTGTTTGTTTAAGACTTACATTTTATAGGTACAGAGTTATTTTGTCGCATACGTAGCATTACGTATTACACTTCAAGACAACATAAACAAAGTAAATGTTTTGCTTACATCCTAAACCTGCAATACACCTTCTTTAAATGTTTAATACACAAAGTGGATAACGTTATTAAAAGATAATTAGTATTATTACTTCTATTCGGGAAAACGACGAATAAGGTTAAGGAAAATAGGTTGGTCGGGTACAGTAACAAATGGTTTAGGGTCGAAACCAATTCTAAATGGCATGTCGTCTGCGAGCTGTACTCTGTACTCCTTCAAAAGTTTGATAATTCCTGCAAACATGACCATCTTGCCAAATCGAGCACCTGAAATTTGAAAAAAAAAATATTTTTTAATATGAGTATTTTTAAATGATAGGATTTTGATACTGTACTAGATCTATATATACTATCTGTCTGTTGTAAATATAGTAATTCTATACTTGTAAGAATCAGATATATGCTAATTATAACTTTATTTGTTGTTAGTGGAAACTTTATGCCAAAACAACAAGTAACATATTTTGTGAAGTTAAGACTTTGTTAGAGGTCAATATAAACATAATACTTTTATAGATTTACGCCAAATGAATATTTGACAGATAGTTTTAAACAAAAACGTGGGTTGTCATGAGAAAAAACCACTAGCAATAATTGGTATGAATTAACAGATATACATTATACAATATACATATGTATAAACGAGTGTTGTGTCGTGTCGCTTGCCGATACAACTGACCACCCACTTGGTAGAATCAGCCGTACGAGAGATAACAAATTGCATGTAATGCAATTTGTTGTGTTGTGTTGTAACACAACACGACAAGTATGTGTACAATGTACATGGGTAACAAATCTAATCTCAGGTCAGTAAAATCCCTATACAAAATTCACTTCAGTTCATACATTGCATTGCAGGAAATTAAGAACCAAGTCAACGAGAACACGTTCACATTTAAAATAACTAGTGTTCGTCCAATGGTCGAAATTTGATCATAATATTTTTTTACTGATAGCACTAAAGCTACATATCAGCAATAGCTACTACATAAAAAAAAGAGAATCAGTTGATAAGCAGAAGAGAAAATGTTTTGTCTTTGCCTATTTATATGTACACAATATTCTACTTCTTCATTCTCTTTACATATATAGGATAAGAGAACCTTATTTCCATAATTAACAATACAACTATTTAATACACTAGTGTGTATTAAATAGTTTTATTGTTTGTAGGAAGTTAAGATTTAGGTTTGATCTACTTTTGTTATTCATAAAAAGTATTTTTTTTCGTAGCTCAGAATTTTAAAGTTTCTATAGATGAATATTGAATATCTTTTATAAATAATAACTATGATACGTACCGATGCAACTTCTAGAACCTTCACCGAAAGCTAAATAAGTGTATGGTTTTATATTATTCTTTTCGTCCTTAAAGAATCGTTCTGGTCTAAACTCTTTTGGATTTGGAAAGTTTTTGGGATTGTGATGGACATGATATACAGGAATGTGTATACGATCATCTTTTTTTAAACTAAGTCCAGTTGGGAATACGTAGTCGCTCATTACCTCTCTCATTAAAACACCAAATACTGGGTACAAGCGCATCGTTTCGTCTATACATGACTCAAGGTATGGCATTTCAGTAGTACATTCGTATTCTATAATGCCATTGTGTTTTTGAAAATAAGCATCAATTTCTTCAATCAGTTTTATTTGAACATCCTGATGTTTTGCAATTTCATACAAAAAGAAACTCAGTGTCGTGGACGTTGTTTCAAATCCTCCACCAAAAATTAGCACACATTGTGATACTAGCAGTTCATCTGTTACTTTTATATGAACAGTATTTTTTTTACCTGTTGTTATATTAGATAAACTGTCGCCTATTAAAAATTTACTTTGTTTCCAGGACAAGAAAAGATCTATAAAGTCATTTCTCGACGATTTAGTGTTTATACGGCTTTTGAAAATATCTATAAGTAGATCATGAAAAAAATTACTTAAGGCTGTATCGAATAGTCTTAACTTAATACCATAAAATAACCCAGGCCACATTGCATGAAATATATTTTTTAAGCCTCTTCTTATCGTGTTACCAGCTATAGTTTTTCCCATATTGACGAAGATATTATTAGGGTCACAAGAAATCATTGTGTTAGCGTTGAATCCAAATGCGCAATTCGTGATACAATCCACCGCATACTTTGCTAAAAAAGATTTCGCATCCAATTTTTCAGACATTTCTCTTTCAATTTCAATCGTTGTCTTTAAATTGTTGGCACAATCAATAATAAGTGGAAACATATTTTTCATTTTAGACGCAGTAAAAAGTGGTGTTAAATTCTGTCGAAGGATTTTCCAATCATCTCCTCCATAGAAAAATAAGTTTCTGGTAACAGTTTCTTTTTTAACATGCTCAGATATTTCTCTTCCATTAAAATAGTAAAAGTCCTTTGCCAATATAAGCTTGAGAATGTCAGGATCTTGAACGAGAAGCGCGGGTTCCGTCCCAAAATAAGTTCCAATATAGGGTTCGTCGGGAAACTTCTGGCAGATCTCTTGAGCAACCAATTGCCTAGGTTTCTTTAATAATATCAAATCTTTGTAATTTCCAAACAGTAAAAGAGGATTTAGATGTGGAACTTTCTTCTTTGACCAATAATTATACTTTCTTGTTAATATCAATCTTAATATATAAATTGTAATTGTTACAAATAGAATCGTATACAATGACATATTCTTATCGATACTTGACTTTAATTATAAACAGCAGTTAAGTGAATGTTCCATTTAGAACTTGTCGTCCATTTTATACCTAGTTTATTGAAAATGATAAAGACATGATTCAATTTCTAAATTTAATAGCAGTTCTAACATTTTTTTGAATATTTTTGCATACTTGGCCAAAGAAAACTTTATAAGATGCAAAACTCTCTACATAGGCCGGCCTTGGTCCAAAGCTGATTTTCGGTGGCTGCCTTGCTTGGGGTTCATTATCAATCAAAACTCACAGCTTGGTTATAAAAACAAATAATGTATAAAACGTAATGTACCTATAGTCTCCACTACACCACGCCTGATTGAATGATTTATATCATGCCGAATCTTCACAAGTAGCTTCGTTTTGACGAAACGCCCAACTTTTCTCTCTACGATGAACATGTTAAAACGGTGATTGTCTAAAATTTATTACTAACAGGTTGTTTTATAATTTTATCTTGGGATCATCCAACAAGAAACAAGAAAAAATGTATGTCCTACATAAAAGATGGTTTAAATCAAATTGTCTTCTCTCCGAACTTGTTAAAAGAACTTAAATATTAAATTAATTAATAACCGGTTGATTTTCATAGAATTTGTTATTCAAAATGAATTAATGCATAATTGAATGGCTAGATCGGCCTACAAATAAAATGGCAGGATTTCTCGGTGCTGCGCTCTGTAACTACAACTTATTTTTAATACATATGTATGTATATACTATATACGTGAATAGTAGTCGGGGTTTTTGTCGTAATAATAAAATTTTCCCGACTATTTAACTACATTGAAATTTGTTACTTAATTATACAAATTTCGGAAACTAGTTTGGTTCTCTCAGACATGCAGGTTTCCTCACAATTTTTCCCCTCAACATGTTGAAAATTTCCCAAGAAACCGCTTCAACTGGAATTGCACGCAAACGCCTTACCAATAGGCCACTACTGTCCTAATAATTTCACTTATTTATTATTATAAGTTCGATAAACTTATTGTTTTACTTATCGAGTAAACCACGAGGTTACTGAGTCATTGATATAAGTAAAGATGAAAATATACTGAGACTAAACACTCGATTGCAGATAGAGGAATACGTATTCTAAGAAGAGCGTGGCCAGCGCTGGATTTACACTCGGGGATAGTGCCCAGGGCGGAAATTTTCAAGAGCGGCAAAATTAGTAGGATAAATAAAAAAATATATTTTTAATTTTCCAAATGAATTTAAAAAAAAATTACTATGTTTTGCATTCATCAAAAATTAAAAAAATTGAACTTTATCGAGACTTTACCCATTTTATGCAAATTTTCGATAATGGGGCGGAATTTCTTACATTGCCCAGGGGCGGCCCTAAGGTTGAATCCGGCCACTGAGCGTGGCAATAATTTTTTTGGTAGTGGGAAGCCAGGATATAAAAGATTTCTGCCTAATACCCGTAATAATTGATAGTGACAAGCGAATTTACTCTTAAAGTACAATATACGAATACAATGTTAATATTTATTAGTATTCATGTTATCTCCGTTCAGTCAAAACGTAAAGAAATATATAAACTATTCAAGAAATTACTGTTCTAACTTGAATTAAGAAGCTATCGACCCTAAATTCATTCGACCTTAAAGGTTCAAACCGATAACGCGATTAGACCATCATATTTGTAAAATATTATATTAATGGTTAGAAATGTAATTAACCTAAGATGACTTAATGTGAAAAAGACGACGCGTTTGGCTCAGTTTGTAGTGACCCTAACTGCTATGCCAGCAGTCGCGGGTTCGAGTCCCGCTGGGAGCATACATTTGTGTGACGAGCACGAATGTTTGTCGTCCATTCATGAGTGTATATATTTATAATATGTATGTATTTAAAGTTACCTATGAAGTGTTATTAAGTAACTTTTAGTAGTTATTAAGTAACTTTTTTTTCTATTATGTAACTAATAAAAAAAAATATTTTATTGCAGAGTTAATGACTATTTATTAAATTTAAGTTTTATTGAACTCTTCCAAAGTGGCCTTGCAAGAAAGAGAGCTCATATCATAATAATATACTGCCTCGGTGGTGTAGTGGCTAGCATGTACGGCTGCACACTCGGAGGTCCTGGGTTCGAGTCCCGGGTCGGGCCAAGGTTAGTTATTGAGTCTTTCTATATAGTAAGTCTCAGTAACAGCCCGAAGTTGGGAAGTTGGCGGTGTTTCACCCCCGTGCCTCGGAGAGCACGTAAAGCCGTCGGTCTTGCGCCTTAACTCTCACTGGACGTGTCGAGCAGTTGTCCCACCAGAGTATGAGAGTGACAGGAATAGAGAGTGCACTTGTGTCTGCGCATACACTTGTGCACTATAATATCTCCTGCGCAGTTGGCTAGTCGCAATGAGATTGGCCGCCGTAGCCGGAATCGGCTAGGAGAACATCATAATATATTCAAATAAAAAATAGTCAACGAATATGACTTGAACACTAACGTAAAACTAAGAATGTATTTCTGAAAATGTTTTAAAAATAAGCCATTAATCTTTATAGTAAAATAAAAAAAATGAAACCTGACTATACCTAATGGATTTTTTATGGGTCTTGTTCTTTAAAGGCCAAAAGGAGTTTTAAAATAAAATTATTTAAATCATGATTTAAGACAATAATATTATGAACTTCTATACACTTTGATTATCTTCTAATCAGAATGTATTGTTATTCATATCTTTATAATCTTTAGTATACTTTTTAATGAATCTTTCCTTTTTTATTTACTTAAGAATGTACAATATAGTTATAGTAGTTCGCGGTAAAAGATAAGACTTATTACTGACGTAGATACAGCTCGCATAGCATATGTTAGTTATTTTCATAGTATTATGTCCTATGGTATCTTACTATGGGGAAATGCAGCTGCTATTAATACGATTTTTGCCCTGCAGAAAAGAGCTATTCGTGCAATTTTTAGGTTAGTTCCTAGAGTTTCATTAAGAGATAAGTTTAAAGAAATAAAAATATTGACTGTTGCTTCTCAATACGTCTACGAAAATGTTATGTATGTTCGTAAAAATATAAAGGAATTTCCCAAGAATTGTGACATGCATAACATTAATACTAGGAGCAAACACAAACTTGTAATGCCTGTGACTCGTCTACACAGAGTCAGTAATTTTTTTTATCGACAATGTATACGCTTGTACAACAGGATCCCAGAAAATGTTCAAAAAGCTTCCAACGTTAATTGTGTGCTAAAGGCTATAATACAATTAATGATTTTATAGAAGATGACACGCCCAGGGAATGAAGTGATCGCTTCCAGGCTACTTCAATTTTATAGAAATATTGTAATTTAACTTTATAAAAAAAGATAATGAAATAATATTAGTTCCGCTGAGTTTTTTTCGCCAGTTCTTCTCAGGTCTGAGGCTTCTTCTTTCCGAACTGGTAGTAGACTCATGACGTTCAGTAAAAAATTGTAATGATTTAATGCTGAATAAAATATTTTGAATTTGAATTTAGTTATTCTTTTCCATAAATTTTGCCTTTTGTTTTATTTATTTTTTTATGTTTATATATATATATATATATATATATATATATCTATGTATGTATGTAGTTATTAGTTAATTATATTTTGATTTATATTTGTTTTGTATTTATTAGGGTAGGTATATATTTGTATGATGTGTATGACCATATTTATAAAGATATTATATTATTATTATTTATAGATATTATTATTATTCACCCCCTTTCTATCTTAGTACTATTTCCTACACCAGGTTGCTTGGAATAAATCGCTCTTTTGTAAATTTTCCTATATTCTGTGTATTTTCCTTTCGTTTTGCGTCTACAATAAAGGTTTTATTATGATTATTATTGTGTTTCCTTGTTAGTATCGAACAATACCTACCAAATTATAAGTAAAGTTATTAAAAAAAATTCTAAAGATTTAACCAAAGCTACTATGGTTGTCCACATCGCATTGAGGAGATTCGGGAACACCTGCAAATCCTTCTTTCTCCCATACGGAAAGGGACCCATTTGAGAAAACCCAAAAACTATGTGGAATATGATAGTCATTTTTCGTTTCTTTATACATTTATTTTAAATATAAATAGCGATGTCACAGCGCGTAATTCATGCCTGATTAAATATTGAGAGCAATGTTGTGTTACAAGTGAAGCGTGTTCAAGCTATGGAGTAGGCGTTTTATTATTATATAAAACTAGCAACGTATTCCAGCTTCACACGTGTGTGCATTTTTAATTTGGTATTTTTAATACTTATATGGAGTAGGGGTGTGAATGTTCCATTCGTTCTATTTTTGGTCAGACTCATATTATTTTGGTGTTAACATAAGTTTAACTTTTGATGTTACAGAACACTCTGTCTGAGAGTTAGACTAGCATGTATGTCAATTTTTATTTCATCTAGTTATGCCTACATATTACTCAAAATAACAAAATGGAACATTTTTAACGCATAACCAAAACAAAAATTTAGGTATATGTATAATATTAGGTTACGTGACTTAATTTGGCCAAACATAATTTGGGTGTTATTTTCTTACTGTTGGCTCAACCTCGCTTTGCTCAGGTTCGTTCCTAGGTACGTTTTAACGGTTAGTATGGAATAGATAGACTATATATGTACATACAAAGGCATGGAAAAGTAGATAAGCACATAGAAAAAATTGAAATATCCCCGAGTACTTACCAAAATTATAGGATATAATTAATTTTTCGCCCTTAACTTGAGAAATGATTTGTTCTCAATGCAAATTATCAACCCCCTTTTTTTTTTAACGTTGGGAAATGCATTTACGCACGAGGTGTGGGACTCACCGGCAAAGCCAGTACTACCCACTAAAACCCAACGAAACCTTCCCCCGTCTTAATGGGGCGTCGCAGGATCGCTTACGCATTCAACTACGACGCCCCGACGGCAGGTCTGCCGAAGCAGACCACAACAACCACGGGGTTGCTCCACAGTCCACTCTGCTATC